CCTGCTTTTCTAAGGGTCAACCAGATCCCCTGTTCTTCCAAGGGTCAGCCATGTCCCCTGGGTAGGTTTGCAGTGCTCACAGACATAGGCTGCTAGGCCCTGCTAGGCTGCCTTCACTGCTTCGCTGACTTCACGTGCGGATACGTTAAGACCTGCTTGGGATGTCCTAACGTATGCCTGGCTTAAGTATAGAACCTGCTATTAAGTATGGGATATACCTGTTGGCACTACATGGGACCTGCTTCAGAAACATAGGGCCATTCTGCTTTTTACCCATGGTTCACGTGAATCTCTTCTCATCACGGAAAGATCTCAGTCCTGCCAGGAGCGAGTCCGACGCTCCGTGCAGACTGTCGGTCTCAGTTCTCAGACAGTCTAAGCCAAGCTCGTCGTGATCAGTTCTACATGAGCTTATACCGGAAACCCCAAAGGTCTTTTGTGTTTCATCACCAGACGAAAGGTACTAAGTACATCGAATTACACATTACAACTGATTACAACTGATTACAACTTCGTTCGTGCCTGAACTGCTCCAGCCTTTGGATGCCATGGCTTCAAGGTACAGTTTGAGCACTGGGTGGCTTGGGCTTCTCGTTGGAATGTGCTGGCTGCCTCTAAGCAGCCAGGCGTCGCATCATGCTAAGGTCTTTGTGCCTCAATTCTTGTCACTCTTTTGCAGCTCTCGGAGCAATTACTGTCTATCCTTCCCAACTGTTCTGCACTTTTTGGAGGGTGTATCCGAAGATCAAGTGCTTTCAAGTGTTTACACTTTCTGGGATAACTATAAGATAGTTTTATATGTGTGTGTTTCAGATGTATAGGCTGGTTGGGTGTTTGGAGTCTAGGCTGTGGCTGTACAACTTGAAATACCAACACGTTCCACCACACTGATTACGTCGCCCTTGGCGATTGAGCGATGTGGATGATGGGAAGATGAAGGCGCAAGTTCCCCAATCAGATTAGGGACACGGCATGCAGGCCGAAAAAGGGATGAACCGGCACACAGCCCAGGTCGGAGATAGGCATTGTAGCCAACAAGGATGAACAACTATCGAATTGGCTGAGCTGCTTGAGCAATTGGTCTGAAGACTCTAGGTTTGATGCCAATCTGACGAGGACACGGTTGCTGGGAGGGATCTTTCGTGTTTGTTCTGTCCTGTTCGGGTTTTGTAGTAACAGCTTTGGTGGTGATCGATCTGACTGCTTCCCTCCGTTTCTTGGGTCCCTCAACGGTGATAGGATCGTGCAGCTTCTTTCATCCCCCGGCGTGCACGATCCCTTACTCGCGATGCGCGCGGGGCTTCAGCAGCTGGCAGACTCCCTCCATGCCGTGCTGGAGATGGCAGAAGACTGTGAAGTGAAGATGGCCACGGAGACGTCTCCGTCCTCAGCTTCGCCATCTCCACGTGAAGTGGTCCAGAAACTGAAGAACTTGGTCTCCGCTGGCCATTTGAATGATGGTTTTTGTCCCTTCACCGGAAAACGGCAGAGGACCATTGGGGGTGCAGAGGTGAGTGATGTGATGGAAGAGTTGCAGGTGCCCAGAAAGACCAAGCGCTTGGCTCGGATCATTGGCAAGTTGCTCCTACAAATACAAGCCGAGGGTGACGGGCCTGCCCCTGCCGGGGTGGCTCCGGTGAACTGGGAGATGAGAGAAGCGCTCTTCGGCACGGCAGAATTATAGAAGACACACCCTAGGGCTCCAAGTACCTCAGAAGGTATTTGGACCCTCCAAACCCACCTCAAGCACTTTCTTAGAAGGTATTTGGAGCCCTAGGGACATGAAACCACCCTGTGGCGGGTGCGGTGCAGCCTGACATGAAACGCTTGCTGGCCGCAACTTGCGTGGACGTCTTGGAGCGCTTGGCCACCTTGGTCGGGTGGTGAAGAGCAAAGTGCGCCTGGTTCGGCCAGGGCATCAGGAATAGCTGGGTCATGAGCGTTGGAAAATGGATTACAATAGCAACTCAAGGCCATGGGCCATTCGATGGAACTACTCGTGTGTGGAACAGTGCATGTCATCGCATCCTAAGGCGACAAACACAAGCTGGACGGATGACTCCAGCTGGATGATACCATCATCCATCAACCCGTTCTGCTCTTATCCTACCTGCGGCGATCGCCGGCTACCGCTGTGTCTCGCCACTGTCTCGCCGGCACCGCGTGCCACAGCGCGTGCCACCCACCGGGTGCCGCGTGGCGTCGCACCGAGCAGCTGGCCGGGTGTGCGCTGGCGCTGTAAACAAGAGCCGAAAGATGAGCTGAGGTCAAAAAGGCCATGTGGCTCATCAGGCTGAGTTTGAGCTGAGGTCAAAAAAACACATGTTTCCCAAGAAAGCCAGAGGATTCCAGAGAGATGTGACATAGATCGTCTTTTCGCGAAGAACGAACCCGAGCCTCCCAAACGGACCATGTGTTTCGTCCGTTTTCGAGTCTTTGCTCACTTCTCAGTTTCGAGTATTTGCTCGTTTCACCACGTCCCGAGCGAGTCTTGTTGCGTCGGTGACCGTCATGTTGTTCTTTGGCAACTTGACGGTCACCCAGTTTGACGGTCACCGACGCAACTGCGCTCGGCGCTCGGCGCTCGGGGTGCAACGTCGCGACGACGCGACGTACGTGGGCACCTGGGACGAGGGCGGGCGCGCGCCGACGGGGATGGCAACGGTGTGTTTGCTCTTTCGAGTAGCAAAGCCTCCTCAGTGCGACCTAAACAGAGTGTCATGTTGGTTTGATTACAATCTTCCCTCCAACAATCCTGGAAGTGGAGCGCTTGGAAGACCATGCTCCTCTAGAAAGGGATCTTTTTTTCCACTCTCCATGTTTCTTTTGGGTAGCGCAGGTGCTTCAGGTTGACCAGAACCCAGTTGAGAAGAAGACATCCGGGTTCTGCCTTCCGGCTGAGATCGTGGGCCAGTCGCCTCATAGGGCGACTGCCTCAGTCGCCTCGCCTCAGAGGTTCTGCCTCGCACATCACGTACCTCATATCTCAACCGTTTTGGCATCGCTTTCTGACGTTCTTCAACCAAAAATATGGTCGTGTGTGGCATCAAAAGTGCACGTGCATGTGCTCATACGTGCTGCAGGATGGTGGGATTTGCTTGCCTGCAGTGCCCGCCTCAAAATGCATCAAAGTAGTGGATGATGTCGAAGAGGTGGTGAAATTCTGTTCGCTCAGCTGTTCAACATGTTTATCAAACTGAAATATGATGT